ACAACAACAAAAAAGGTGGCAACCTTAGGTGTGCGGAAGTGGCGCTGTGGCTCAAGTGGTAGAGCGCTAGCCTTGAGCCGAAGAGCTGAGGGACAGCGCCCAGGCCCAGAGTTCAGGCCCCACGACCAGACCCAAATAAAAAATGAAAAAATAAAAAACCCTGCAGAATTAAGATCTGACATTCTGCTTCAAAGAATAAGATAATCTCACCCTCACACTGCTCAGGTTGAAGGACACAGTGGGAGGTTCTTTCCATCAGGTAATAATAGTCTTCTCCACTGCCCAGAAGGCAAAGATCCCAGGGCAGTTGTAGGAGGAGAATGCAGTAGCAATTTGGTCACATTAGAAGATGGCTGACAGCAGCTTAAACTATGAAGTGAGTTTTGTTTAAATGCTACACCATCCTCCACTTATCATTAAGGGTCCCCCAGGCATACCACACCCTACAAGGGAGGAAACTGACAGGGCACTGGTACTCAAAGGCAGAACAGGGCCAAGGACAAAGGGGATTTCACCTAAATATGGTATTCTACCACACTGGGGTTTCTCTTTTTAAATTAAAAACTAAAGATGGAATTCAAAGAAAAAAGTATTAGGAAAGTTAGTGAGCTCAATGAGTAAAGGACTAATATTGCTCACTGTGTTCAAATATGCACCCACCTAGCTAGCTAGACATTGTGTCCTTGAGAATGTACATTTTACCAAAGGGGTGGTAAGTTGGAAGGTAGGCAGTAGAGTTATCTGCCAGCTCCAGAGTAAACAAAGGTGGAGTCTAAGCAGAAGTACTCAGAGCAAAGTGCTATTTGACTCTCCCCTAAGAGTGTGTGCTCTTATAGGGGGAGCAAAGAAAGGTAAGCAGCAGAAAAGCAAATCTAAACCAAATAAAAGTGAAAAAAACCTGTTGCATGGTCCACCAGACCCCATAAATAGGAAAGAACTACACAACTGTCAGACATTCGAATCCCCCACAGAGACTAGGAATTTGGGATTAAGGCCAAAATCAAAACTATTCAATGCCTACTCCCTCCCTCTCAAATAGTATCTCTAAGCTTTTAGACCAGGTTAAAAAAAAAAAAATACTGGGGAAAGTTGGGGGGGGGGAGTATTTAAAAAGGTGAAATGCACCAAAAAAAAAGTTGTAAGCATACAAGCCTGGCACAGTAGTCTATACTTGTAGTCCCAGCTATCAGGGAGGCTAAAGCAAGACAATCACTGGAACCCAGGATTTGATCAAGACCAACTTGGGCAAAATAGTACCATCTTGTCTAAATACACAAAGAAAAGAAGGCAAAAAGGAAGGGAGGGAAAAAGGAAGGGAGGGAGGAAGGAAGGAAAGGAGGGAGGGAAGGAGGAGAGAACACAAAGGCTAGCTAGTATGACTGATTTTCTACCATACATTTTTACTACCACCAAAAATAGATAAGGTTAAAACTGGAATTAAACTATACAGTGTGGGGCTGAGGGTGGTACAATAGGAGTTGATATAGCCAGGCACCAGTGGCTCACACCTGTAATTCTAACTACTTAGGAAGCTGAGATCTGAAAGTGCATGAGACTCTTATTGCCAATTAACCACCAGAAAAAAACAGAAGTGGAGCTATGGCTCAAGTGAGTGTTAGCCTTAAGCAAAAAATGCTCAGGGACAGACCCAAGCCCCAGCGTTGACAGACGTTGACACACACTCACGTTGACACACACACACACACAAAAGAGTTGGTAGAGTACCAAAAGGTCTCTAATTAATCCACAGCCAACTACAACAACAAATTCTCCCAATACAATACAAACTCAAAAATGACAGTGGATTTGACAAGGTACTGCATTATAAAATAACCAATCTCCAGGTCTAGAACAGAAAAGACACATTTCAAAAAAAACTGTAGTGTCTCAGCTTTAGTCTCATCCACCTTAGCAACTAGGGCAGCTTGGATGTTCATACATAGTAACCACAAAAATAATAATGACAGTCCTACTAATAGCAGATACCATCAGGGAGTGCTGAATTTCCAGCTTTAAAGGAGGGAGGCCACAAAATCCACATTCCAAAATGCCCTAAGAGAATAACAGGTAGCC